CGGGATCTGTGGTTCGAAAAGAGTTTGAATATGACTCTGGTTATGGCCACCGCGGGAAGTAGTTGGGCTGGTCTGGGCTCATTGGCAGAGGACGAGGAAGACGGAGACTCGAGGACTAGAGGGAGTTCGGTAAGCAATCAGTAAGAGTAGCTTGATCTCAACTGTGACGAGTTGGGGTAGAATTCATTATACGACCTGGTATGAACATGGGCACAGGTATGGGCCAGTATCTAGAAAGCAGGAGGTCATTGGAGCGTTCATGCAGCACTTTCTTCACATTTCTTGGCGCAGGGTATCTACGAAAGCACATTGCGTATATAGCATTCTTGAGGAAAATGCCAAGTCATTACTCGTCGATCCCCCGAGGTTTCCCAGTCTAATTTTGTGTCGTTATTCGTTGATGGATGTTGGGTAGTCCATCTTCACCACCCGTTCAAAGCAGCTCGTCTTCCACGGCAAGCGACAGAGATACACTCTCTGCTGCCACAACCTCATTGGCTTGCTCTGAGGCCACAGGCACCATCTCCACATCGCCATATACCTGCACCTCTCCACCGTCGATCTCCGGCATCTCCTCATCACTGACCCACTCCCTTCCCTCCACATCTCCCTTCTGACCCTCCAACGCCTCGAACGCATTGCCCTTCTTTCCAGCCGCCAAGCCTAATAATCTTCCCTTCTCAACATTGACCTCCTCCCATCCCTTCTTCCGCTCTACAACCTTCTTCTCCTTCACCACACTCTTCTGCACCTTGACTTCCCTCTTATCCATGACATCGACCGCACGCTCGAGACCACGTTCGCGACGCACACGCTGTTGCCGTTTCAAGGGTTTAGACTTTGATTTCGACTTTGTGATACCGGTGGGTCGCGCGCCAAGGGCTATGGATGTGCTGGTTTTGGTCTTTGGTGGGGAAGAGTCGCGCGTTGTAGATTTTACGGATTTGTCCAGGTTGATGGAGGGGGATACTGCGCGGCGGGCGGCGCGGGAGTGAATTGTGGATTCTGTGAAATTTAGATTGAGATTTTTCAGAGATGCGGAAAGCGCATACGCTTCTTCTTCATTTTGCCTGTTTTCGCCATTGTGGGTAGTGAAGAACGGTTTGCCCGCTGGAAGGAAAATTGGCACGATTGAGGGAATTTGATTCAGCTGGTATTTGTCTCGTATGGGATGCGACTGGAAAATCTGCGACAAGAGAATATTCTGGCGTCGGTGAAGTGTTTGTGTGAAGATGGATGTGTTTGAAAGTCACAAAATTGTTGAAGTGATGCCGCCAAGATTCACGCTCAAAGGAAAGAATGCGCGACCCGCTACGGCGGTGGCAGGGGGGGGGGAGTGATCACGGCCGACCGGGACATTCACCCTCGCAAACATGTACAAGCCTGCAACGCCACTATTATCTCGCCGTTGTACACCCTCTCTCGTCCATTCTCTCCATGTCGACGACCAGACTGACGCCGCCGTGTTTGCTGCCTTACAATCTGGAACATGCGCTGGCCTGAAGGTTGAAACCCACCCTATTTCCTATTGATATAATATAGCCTCCTCGCAACGATACTTTTTGTATACCTCACCTCTATCGCCCGCCGCTGGCCCCTCTCTAGCGCATACCACGGTACTTGTGGTGTACCCACAGAGACTTCACCGCCCTGCCGCAGTACCAGGGATCAGCATTGACAGAAAAGAATACCTTGGTTAGTTCAAAGCGATGAGCAACCCTTATAAGGACGACCGCCGGGCGAACTTCGCCTACCCACCGACATCCTTTCTACCCGACTCCCCAACCACCTCACTTGGTTCCGTCGCACTCGCCGTACTTGCCGGCGCATACGTTTCTTTCAAAGTCCTCGAACTCCTCGGATTTCCCGTCCGTTTCTGGTTGTACCTGGCCGCACAGATGTCCTACGAAAGTCTGCCGTCGCTTGATGGCCTCTTTAACAACGACGCGGATTCCGGCAATGGCACACATAATGATGAGAAGAGGGGAGGGACTGTGATGGAAAACGTGCTTGGATTTGGAAGCGGGTTGAAGCGGGGCTTTTCTGGGGCCCTGTCGAAAAATTACAGGAATGTGCCGCCGGGTTTGGGCAACTGGGACAATTCTTGCTATCAAAACAGCGTCATACAGGGCCTGGCATCACTGCCCTCACTCCGCGAATACCTCAGTAATACGACTACCGAATATCCAAATCTCAGTGAAGATTCCACAAACAGCGCCCTGTTCGACTTGATCAAGAAGCTCAACAACCCCGAACACCACGGACAACAATTCTGGATCAGGGGCAAGCTCAAGGCCATGACCACGTTTCAGCAGCAAGATGCTCAGGAATACTACTCGAAGATTATGGATGCGTTGGACAAGGAGGTTCAGGATGCCACGAAAAGCAAGAGGCTGTCCAATGCTTCTTGGTTGTTGACTGCAAAGAACCTGAGCGACTCACTTGTGACCGCGGCAAAAGAAGAGACATCCGGAGATGAGCAGGCTCCCGCACAAGAAGCACACCTCTCTCCGAACCCCCTTGACGGACTCCTGGCACAACGAGTGGGTTGTATCAACTGCGGTCACTCGGAAGGACTATCCCTTATCCCATTCAACTGTCTTACGGTTCCTCTAGGCCGCAGGTACAGTTACGATGTCCGGGAATGTCTCGACGAATACACGCATCTTGAGTTCATCCAGGGAGTGGAATGCGCCAAGTGTACTCTTATCAAGACCAAGAACACCCTTTCGAAACTGCCCCTAGCACCAGGATCTCCCTTTGCGGCTCGTCTGCAGGCTGTTGAAGAGGCGCTCGAGGAAGAGGATTTTGAGGACAAGACTCTAATCAAGAAATGTGGCACCGCGAAGAAGAACTGGGTCCAGACCACCAAGTCGCGCCAAGCCGTCATCGCGCGAGCACCGAAATCACTCGTCTTACACGTCAACCGGAGTGTCTACAACGAGAGGACTGGAGATCAGCTCAAGAACAACGCGAAGGTGTCGTATCCCAAAATCCTAGATCTGAACTCATGGTGTCTGGGCAGTCGACCCTCACAATCACAGTCCGTTGACGAATCCGTTGAAGAGTGGCCGAAAGACCCTAACCAGTCTATGATTGGAGACGCAGATGTCGAATCAGCAACAGACTCGCCTTATCGATACATATTACGGGCCGCGGTCACCCATAAAGGCAGCCATGGGAACGGACACTACATCTGCTACCGAAATCAGCCATTTCCCATAAAAAAGGCAGACTCGTCTGACGAAGAAGACCCAAAAGACCCGGATGAAGAGCCCCGTGCAGAAGAGTGGTGGAGATTGAGCGATGAAAACGTGTACTCGATCAAGGAAGAGGCAGCGCTGCTGCAAGGAGACGTTTTCATGCTGTTCTACGAGCATCTTGATGCCGATCCTAATCCACCACTTCTTGCACCAACGGCTGCAGGCGAGGCAGCTGCTTCCTTCGGCTCGACAGATATTCCCCTGCCGCCTCAGAACTTCCAGTCTTTTGACCAAGATCTGCTCGACCACCAAGCTGCACAGATTCCTCTTCCAGCCGATGACGACGACGATGAGGAGGACGTCTCCCTACTCTCCCCTCCAGAGTCGCCTTCCCTTCCGCACACTGTCGCGCATCCCACTTTCCACGTGGACCACTCTGGCCCAGCCGAGCCAGTGCCTGGACCGCAAGAGGTCAACGGAAAGCCAGATGATGCGTATCCTACGCCGCCCCCCGACTCGCCACGTACCACCCAACACGACGACACCGAGACATCCGAAGGCGACTCGGATGATGCGCCCTCGACTGCGCTTACCTCTGACGAAGAAGGAGACTCAGAAGCTGACGACACTCTCGCCAAAGATGTCTCAATTCTCCAGCTACAGCACAATTCCTCGTCGCAGAGTCCGCACTGGATGAGGACCGCAGGAGACACACCCGGGAGAGGTGAGGGCAGCAGAGCGGGCCCTCCAATGGTCACCGCTACGTAGAATGTAGTCTAGCATAGCATGGATTCGGCGTTACACCTTTCATGGTCTCGGCCTCGGCCTCGGCCTCAGCTTGGGGGATCTTTCATTTTGCACAAATGAGACGGCGTTCGGTGTCATAGACCTGCTGCCCTCACACACGACGGGTCAGGCTGGCGTTTAGGAGGAAAATTTGTATTGTATCATTGCTTGTTGCTGCCTACTTGGGGCCTACTTGGAGGGGGGGTGTAAGGGGAAACGGGGATGGGAATGAAAAGGCTACTTATGAGATTTGTGGCTTGATGCCTACAGCCTCTTATTATTTCTTTTATAGTGAAAACTCATTATCCGCATATTAATTCAAGGTGAGTGGCGGATTAATTTGGGGTTCTGTGGGGTAGACTTTTGTAACATGAAGAGAAATGTGAATTTTTTCTCAACTTGGTTTCGACCATGACATGAACAGTGGCTCAGCAAGACTATTTTTCGCTGCGTGACCGTGGATTGTTCGTTAGCGACAACTACCACGACACGGACAGAGGAGAGAATATTCGAGCCGGGGTCGAGGGGACGAATGGTAGTCGCTCAACTGTGACTGATACGGAAGCGTATTTACTGAACATGAACCTATTGAATATGAACCGCGGTGCAGACATTATAGCATGGCATCTTCCCATTTATATACACCACATGTACCGTACAGACCATGATAAATTCCTCTCCTTGCCTTGTGAGATGTGCTTCTGCCCTCCCACGTGCGAGACGAAGAAGAAGAAGAAGAAGAAAGAAAGAAAAAAATTCTTCCCATCCCCGTCCTGGTCCTGGTCCTTGGTCCTAGACCCGCACGCCCCCCCTTTGCCCCACCCACCTACCCACACACACACACACTCGACCCATGGTAATAGATCTCAATAAACAGATATCCACGACCATTCAAGAAAGAAAAAAAAAGCAGCAGCAAAAGGACGAGAGTTGTGCGATATAACCCGGTTAATTCAGCTCAACCTTCAACAATTCCAGAACACTCGATTTGGAAACAAGTTCGAAAACCGGGGCCTCATGGCCAAATGGCAAGGCGCTTGACTACGAAGAAATATATATATATATTCTAGTTGAATCAAGAGATTCCAGGTTCGACCCCTGGTGAGGTCGTCGTCGTCGTGGTTTTCTGGATTTCTTACGGATTCGGATTTCATCATCGTGATCATGACTTTGTTGTGTCGTGTTGTTGTTGTCTTATTATTAATTTTCTTATTTAGGCCTCATGGCCAAATGGCAAGGCGCTTGACTACGAGGATATATGAATATTTCTATTCTAATTCCAGTTATCAAGAGATTCCAGGTTCGACCCCTGGTGAGGTCGTTTGACAATATTCTTTTTTTTTTTGGTGGTGTGTTGGGGGGGCTGGATGGATAGGTATGTACTGCGTGCATGTA